TATTAGTATATCCAGGACTACGTTATACACACAAAAAATTAAATTTTGCATGCAAAATTTTTATTTTTTAAAATGTTTGTTTGAGTACGAAAATCATTTTGCGGTTGAAAAAAACACAAAAACATTTTTGGGGGCAATTTCAAAAATACTTGCTAGTCGCCATCAAAAAAATGCTAGTCATACAATTTCCATATATGGAAATTGTATGATTAGCATTTTTTTTTGACAAAAATTTTTTCTTTTTTATTTAGTACGATACACCAAAATTTATGCCAAAACAAGAGAAAAGTTCTTCGAAAATTCGATGACACCATTTTAGCAAAATGTATGAAAATTGTATGATTAGTATTTTTTCATAGACTTAGTTTATGGAATTGTATGATTAGCATTTTTGGTCTATGGAGGTCAACCCGGGTTTCCGTAAAATCCTTAAGAAAACGATTATAATGGATTAATCAGCGATGATAAAAAAAATTAAGTAGAAATCAATTGAGCACATTATAATCGATTAGAATGGAGTATATTGGTTTATAATGCATTATAATGGATTGTAATAGATAATAATGGATTTTAAAAAAATTTTATGAGCAAGAGCCTGGAATTTCTAAAATCTTGAATCAAATATCCAAAACTTGAACGTTGCAACCGCTAATTTGTGTTTCACAGTTGGCTACCACAAAAATTTTTTTTTTGTTTTCTTCTTGTGCTTTTTTCTTTTTGTCCCCTTCTCCCCATAAATATTTCACTCAAACTCCTACCGTTCTTACCACTTACTTAACATTTTCTAACTTGCCACTACATCACCTCCCCACCGCTTACCTCCTACTAAAATTTACCGTAAAATAACCGTACGCGTGCCCCCTACCCTCTGAAATGCATAAACACCGTTAAAAACACCCACCCTACAGATCTTTAAGCTCCCGCCAAGGGGGGGGGGGGGGGGTGAGTAGGGGTTAAGTGGAGGTGACGGCTGGCGGGGTGGGTAGATGGAGGGGGTAGGTGGGGTGTAGATGGGGGTTGAGGGTAGGCGAGGCGGGTAGGTGGGGGGGGGGGGGGGATTAGGTGTGTGTGGGGAGTGTAGGTGTGGGGGTAGATGTAAGGGGTATGTGTGGGAAGTATGTGTGGGGGGGGGGGGGGCTTGAGTTTGGGTTAGGTGGTGGTGCAGGCGGGGTGGGTAGGTCGGGTGTACGTAGGGTCTTTGCAAAATTTAACTAAATGTGAGTTTTAGAAATTGAGTAGGCTGTGAGTAATGCGGAAAAAGCTGCAAATTTTGCAGAAAATTTGGAAAAAAAGTTTGTGGAGATTATAATCCATTATAATGGATTTCAAATGGAATATAATCGACTTTTTTCTGAAAAAATAATGGGTTATAATAGATTGCGTGGTCCCAAAGTGTAATTATAATCGATTAGAATGCCAAAATTTTTGACCACGAAAATTGATTATAATCCATTATTATTCCGACTTTCGGTACGAAAGTAACGGAATATTTGTGCTCGGGGTGGGTTTTTTTTTCTTCAGACAAATTTCGACTTTTAAACTAGCCATTTTTTGGCGGATTTTTTTATATCATTCGAAAGACATTGTTGTCCTGAGCTCAAATTTGAAAAGATATTTTACCTGTGATCATTTTTCGTAAAGTTATGGGGGTTTAAAGATTGCCATTTTGGCCAATTTGGGACAACTAACGCGCGATATATTTCGCGCTATTAACGCGTAAGCGGAGAATTAATCCGTCTTAGAAATCGTTCCAAATTGGTTAAAAGAAGCTTTTTAGCCATAAACGTTTTGTTACAAGGAGCGAAATCTATGCTTTTGTACTTTATATGGCGTGTGGGGGGATGATTTTTATTTAAAAAATTCAAATTCAGAAAAAAAAATTCATTTTATTTTATTTCATTGAATTTTTAAATGTTTTTACGGCTCCATAAACCTTAAAAGGGAGTCGGAACATTCAGGGTTTCGCCCTGATACGAGCAGTCTTGTTATCCATGGAACCTATTATTAAGCTGTAATAATTTATCTATCACAATTTTTTTTCTCAATTCAACTTTCAAAGATTTTCTGTTCACGTGTTCCATAGAGAGAATTCTCGCTGGGAACAAAACAAAAATTCTCTGCCATCGAAGAATTAATCCCTCGTCACTGGCCTCTTATCCATGATCATGAAACCTTGAACTCTGATTCAGGGCTGAAATAAAATCTAAAAAGACTTCTCAAGTTATTCTGATATTGACCAAGTTAACATTCTCCCCTCCCCCCTCCCCAAGGCTGGGGAGAGGATTGCTTGGATGTTAACTTGATCCATTCTGATTTTTTATATGTCACTGTAGTGCTTATTATGTGATTTCAGCATTGAACCAATCCTGAACTATCACTGCAAGGTCACAAATAAGTTTAAAAAATAAATCAAAAGTCAGTAAATTAATTCACGTCTGAATATGCAAATATCAAAAACGACTGATGAAAGCAATCAAAAGAATAAATCTATAGTCTATCGCAAATTTTCTTTGTAGTTTCAACATCAATTGAGAGTAATTTGAACAGGGATTTCCCCCTGAATTAGCATCTTTCAAGGTTTCTGTTTCAGTCTTTAATCACTGTCATTCGAATGTCAATTTCTTCCTGATGGTTAGATTGTTTGTTCAAGTTTTTGAAGCGAAAAGTTTCAATACTTTTGCATCCTAGTGAATACCGTTGAATGAGAATGACTTCGTTAAACCTTTTTAATGCGACAATGACGGAATATTTGTGCTCGGGGTGGATTTTTTTCAATTCAGACAAGTATCGATTTTTTGACAAGCAACTTGTGACGGAATTTTTTTATATCATTCAAAACGTACGGTTATCCTGAGATCAAATTAAAAAATTGCGGCGTTTCGGTAGTGTTAGTGTCCAACAATCATATGATTGCTGGTTCAAATCACGCGAGCGCTGCAATTTACCAAGTGAACTTTTGCAAGTAGAATCATTCATTTTTAACGTCATAGCTTATTGGACGCCGAATACATATGCGCTCTTGTTAACCTGATTAATTTAGCTTCAAGTTAGACCTCCGGGTTAGTTGACCAAAAAATTAAAATGTTATTTTTTCTATGGTCATCTTTTGTAAGGTTATGGATGTTTAAAAATTGCAAAGTTGGGACAATTAACACGTGGTTCATTTGTGCTAATGAAGAGTAAGCGGAGATATATATCGTCTTAAAAATCAGTACAAATTGGGTTGAGGCATGCTCTTTGGTATATTTAATAACTTGTTAAAGCAAAATATATCACGGTGTACTTTACACAGCGTGTAGGAAGATGATTTTCAAAACAAAAATCAAAAAAGTTTCGAAATCTTATTATGATTTTTAATTTCATCAATTATTTCAATTTAAATTACTCCATATAAATTAAAAAGCAGTCGGATACAAGCAGTCTTGCTCGAAAATTTTTTTATTTTGGTTTTGAAGACGATAATTGGTTCAACTTGATAAAATTTTTCTGCAAGTACAATTTTACGTACAATATTACCTAGTTGAATTACTGATTGCCATGACTGTTAGACATAATGACACCTTTTTTGCCTATATAATTTTTCACCAAAAAAACTCAGTTAAAAAATTCTGCGAAAACTTAACCCAAGGAAGCGTAGTATATGTATGTCAAAATTTTATCCACTTGGATGTGATGAGAATTGAGTCGTAAATGAAACTTATAAGTTTAAGTAGTTTGCCTCAATTCAATGTGGAAAGATTTTGTAAAGCGGGACGGAATAATTTGCCACGCGTACAGAATTCTCGTTAATTTTTCAGCATTAAATTAAAAAACGATCATTTTAGATAGACTCGTTTCAAATTGCACAAGCAGTCACGCAAATATAGTGGTTGCATGCACGGTAGGGCCAATAAAAGTCTACAGATCGAGCCCCCAACTGACTCAAAAATGGTATTTATCAATAGTCCGAAAACATTCCGACTGTCCCTCAGCTGGTCTGGAAAAGTTATTGCTTAAAATTTTTTTTGATGAATTGTAAATTTTGGATTGCCAGTATCAAATATGAAGAAAAGAAGTTTGAGTCGAGTTAAACTGACCAATTACTTTACCTCTATGCAATTTGGAACGATTATGAGTAACGGATAATTTGCCAAATTAATTCGCTCGTTGAAACTATCAACTACTAATTGAGCACTGCCAACCGCAATAAGGGTAGTGACAAGGATACTCGCCAGGCAAACTAAAAACTTATGGATCTATACCCATACGCAGTCCGTCTTTTTTGTAAGAATTTTGTCTGAATAAAAGATTTGCCCAAGCTAGTACTAGTCAAGATTTTCTTTTGGTATTTTTCCTGAAATTTTTGTTGAGACGGAAAACAGTCTATGGCGATGTTCAGAACTTAGGTTTTCAGAAAGTAGGTTAATCGACCAATACTTGGAATTATGCAAAGTTCGCTAAAACATTGACCAGGATTTGAATTTTAAGGTTTTATCACTAATTATTAACCATACTCTGTCTCACTAATTCTCTAAATCTACACAACAATAGCCAGTTGCTGTGCAAGTAGCAGAAAAAAGTTACTACCAAATTGATTTAGGAAAAAGTTCAAAAATGAAATTTACTTTTTAAATTAAAAACAATTATAACTTTTTGGCAGTTTCTGTGGTCTAAGACAGAAAAAATGCAAACCACTTTTTCTGGACAGTTTGAGAGATTATTCTGATTTTTTTTTGGAATCCCAATTTTTGAGCTTAGACGTAGACAAACTTAGCTGGGAAATTTTTTTTAAAAAACGGCCCTACGCCATAGTTTTTCCACAATTCGAGAGTGTTAGGAACAATAATTTTTATAAACTATTCAGATCAATCAAACCTCGGTGCGTGATATCAAAAAAAAAAGGTTTGCAGACATCATTATTTAATGAAACGGCTCTGAATTGGCACCTAAAAGACCATAAAAAACCTAGATTTCAAATAGATGGCAATTTGAAAATTGTGATTAGTAGTACTAAGCGCCAGAAGTCTTTTGAGCATATATTGTTTTAAAATTGATATTCAGTCCTGTACAAATAATACAATTATTAACATTTTTTGGCACTGAAATTTTTATTGAATCAATTTGTATCAAATCTCTACAATTTGTCGTTTAAGGTAGAATATTTAGCAAGAATAAAACTAGATTTAGAGTCAAAATCAATTTTGAGCGGGGTTTTAGTCACAATGATAACTTGTACTCTTACTGAGGGCAAGTCGGCGATTGTATGGCGCCCGTGTTGAGGATTTCTAAAACACACAAAGACTACAGATTATAGAGACCCTTAACTTTTCAAATCAAGCCACAAAAAAACTGAGAGCAGCCGTTTTTGATAAAATTAACTAAAAACGGTCTCAATATAGTAGCGCGCTGAGAGCGGGGGGAGGACTTGACCGCTTCTTTCAATTCTGGTTGCCAAATTTTTCCAAGGGTCACCCCTTGCTTCTATTTTACGATTTTACGACAACTATTTCTGGCTGAACAAACTTAACATGCTCTTAAAGGCTTCTTTGGAGCCAGTCTCTTAAGTTGGAAAGGAGATTGCTGTCAAAAAAAGCTATTGTTTTGGTAAAATTACTCCAAGGAGTTCTCTAAAACAGCAGTTTTGCCAAAAAATTGCTTTTGTCTGCTCTAAAAAGAGGCCGGCTGCTCTTAAATTTTTTCAACCCGATCAAACACCCCCAAAAAAAAAATTTTGCGCCTTCTACAGCCCCAACACCTCGAAATATTTTGATTGCAGTTTTATTGACCGATAACGAGAATAATAATCGATGAAGATTTTAATTCTAGTTTCAAACAGTTTTCTGACCACAAAGTTTCTGATTACGTTTTGGTGTTAATATTTGATTGAAAATGTATTAAATAAATAAACTATTTTAATCTGTGCAAAAAATGGGCTCAAGTTAGCACCAAACCTCGCCTCAAGTGCCAAATGGCAAAATTAAGGGACGAAATTTACAAATTTTCTTAAAAAAGAGTGAAAATTAGTCAAATTTGGAATGTTTTATTTTGAAGTGTTTAAATTTATACAGTCCAAAGTTGAGTGATTTTTCTTATGTTTTCGAATTTTTGAATTCTGATTTCTGATGTTGGTTGAAATTTTCGGGCATCTGGTCCTTCGGTTATGAGAGAAGGGCCCAAAATTGTTGAAGATTGGATGAAAGATATTGGCTTTGATTTATTTGGATAGTGGGAGCGAATCATTTTAGTTAGACTTTTCATCTTAGCCTACTCAGCCTGGTAACAAAATTTACAGACCCACCGCAACTTGGGGGAGGGGTGGTTATTATGGTAAATATCCATTTCTATTTTTTCTAATAATGATCTTCATAATAAATTGTTTCCAAAATATGTTTCCAACATTTCACCGCTTTTTATAGTTCTTTTTTTTACAAAAGATCTTTTTCTCTCCGGAGACCCGTTCGACACAAATAAAATTAAACACAAATTTTCAGATGACTATTAAGTTGGGATCTCTTTAACATTATCCCCCTTTTGCAAAAGGCGGAATATTCGTTACTTGGTATAAAATTCTGATATGCTTAAATATTGATTTGTTTCTTTATAGGGAGGCAGAGTTGGAACCGGGTCCGGACCGGGCTCGGGCCTCATTTTTAGGATCAGCAACCGGGACTTTCAAAAGAATTCATAGTTTTCACTGTTCAAGCTACAAACGCCCAGAGAACGAACAACTAGGATCGGCTGCGGCCAATGAGCTCACTAATTTTTGATTTTTTTAACAAAAAAAATCACATTTGATTTTCAATTTACTTTAAGTGAAAATATGGGCCTGGGCTGGAAATTTTTGTTTCCCAACCGGGCCGGGCCGAGCATGGGCCTCAATTTCAGGCTCGGTTCCAACTCTGTAGGGGGGGGGGGGGTATTCGTTACAAGGTATCCGAGGGGGATATAGTTAAAGAGATCCGTAAATTGTACTCGCCCATGTAGCTGTCGGCGAGTTGCTGTGCTTTCGGGCGCCCCGCTGCCAGTCGCTTGTCCTTCATCATGGTCAGCTGGTAGAAGTTCTGGTTGACCCAATCCAGCTCACAGGTGCCGTCTAGTGGCAACTGCACCCCATTCATCAAAGCAGAGTTCCACGCCTCCTTGTTCAGGGCGTACACGTTGCGCTCTACAAATAGAAAATATAGACTGCCAGTTGAAGTAATTCATGAGCAAAACCTCTCAAAAGTCGCCCAATATTCTGTAAATATCCCAAAAACAGCCACAATATTTCGTAAAGTATACCAAAAACCGCCCAATTATGATTGGAGAGCATTCTAGACTTGATCAAGTGGCCTTCAAAACCACTGAAAACTCGTCCATTCTTCCTTTAAAAATGCTCAAAAATCGCTCAATTTTGGAAACCACCCTAGAGTCGTGCCAAAATGACCAGCATTAGAGCGTTTTAGGCGGTAGTCGATTGTTGTTATCGTTTATAGGGCTCCGAGCAACTGAGTTGTAATAGAAAAGAGCCCGCTAATTTACTAATGAGGGAAGGGGGGGATTTATTAGAAAAGATTCAAAAAGTAGCTATACTGACGCATGCAGATGACCCAATTAGGATAGGCGCACGTGTAGTCGTCCAGACCCTGGTCTCCATTCCACTTTAGAGCCTCCTTGTGGAACTCTTTCCTGCACACACAGGCCTCACCTCCTCTGTTTCCGAGAACTAAACAAGAACAAAAGCTATTCGACTCGCAGTTCAAAACTATAATTTGACTCAGGAGTCGAAATATGATATTTCCTCAAAAAAGCGTCAAAAACTGACCGCAATGTAAAGTTTTAAGCCACTGTAATTTTGCATAGCTATTGCTTTTATTTCCGACAAATTAAAATCGGTTTCGAACCATTATCTCAGTCACAACTGAAAAATTGTGAATTGACTGAAAGTCCAACGTAATTAAAAGGATCCTAGTAGGACCCTGGGGAACCCCGGGGAACCCGAGGAGCACTCTATGGCAGATATAGACTGAAAATTATCAGAATGATCTTTCAGAAATGTGAAAAGAACACGTAAAAACACGTCAGTCAGAAACTTGGGCAAGTGATAATACTAAAATAATACCCCCCTCCCCCCTCCCACCTCGCCCTATTGGACTAACTTCGGTCATCTGGTTGACCAGAAAGGAACATGTCAACATCCATTGGATCCCCTGTGTACATGTTCATGTAGTGGTTGGATACGTTGCCGAAGAAGCGCACATAGCCAGTCCAGTAGCCGCCGTCTTCCAGGTAGGCGGGGCTGGCGAGGATCTCCTCTTGGTACTTGTCCCAGAAATGGTCCCTCAACACTTGCTACAAAAAAATCGAGAATGATGAAACGCGAGAGATTTGAAATTAAGTCGATTTTCAATACTGTTTTGTAAGTTCTATCTATTGATTTGGCGTGTATATGATTACTGTTGTAAAAAAAATTTTCTCATGTTGGCTTGTAATGTCAATTTTTTGGGCAAAAATATGATAAAATATGTCAATATAAGACATATTTGGGAAAAAAGAACATAATGCTCCTTTTAAGAGTAAGGTCTGTATTCTAAACTTTTTTATTCAACTCGTATTGGTTCGTATTAGTCTGATTTTTTCACCTAAGAAAAAAGACAGTTATTGCTTCGTGTGAATTATTGTTGTCCCAGGAGGTAAAATTTTTTGAATGATATTATGATTCTTGTGTATTATGATACTGAGCGCCAAATTACTGATATTATTAAGAAGTTTTTTCTTATCAAACAAGTTTTAGTATTGCTGAGTTCAAACTCATCATTCTCATTTTACAAATCGCCACGAGTTTTTCATCGCAGCGATTTTTGTTACAAATCGCAACGACTTTTTTTTACAAATTGCAACGACTTTTTCATAATCAATTTCGAACTTGCTATTGATTTGTGAAAGAGCGGGAAGGTTGCTTCACAAACAAGGGGGACATAGATACTAACTTCCTCGCCCTGTTTGTCGAACGTGACGACGGTCGCCCCTTCCTCGTAGCCACATGCAGTTACCGCCTTGTCCTGGCTCACCGGACCCAGATCAACCAGCATCTTGTAGCAATGCGCCAGACCTAAAAAAGGTTAAGGCCATTTGTACAGGAGACGATGATGAGGGTGAGGCAACATTACCCAACCCAGAAAAATAATTTAAAAAATGTATGTAGTTCATAAACATGGGCACAACAGCGGCTCTCCGCGAAGAGCTGAAAAACTCATATATTGGTCTTTTCCCACGTAAAAGTTCATCTCTGTACGGAAAATAGCGGTTATGTTTTTTTGTTGTTGAAGAAATACGAGCATATTTTATTTCTCAACTAACCTTCAACCCTCTCAAACCCGTGGAGACATTCTGAAATATAAAAATAAATTTAAATGGTATATCATAGTCATTTGAAAATACAGCTTTTAAACTCTTAAATCTGGGACTCTTGGACGCTGGTTTTCTGATAACGTTAAAAAGTTATTTATTAAAAACACAGGACTTAGACTTGTTTTTCACCTAACAGCTTAAGCTAGATAAATATTGCGTGCACAACTCGAAAAAGTTACTAAACGATTTTTTTTCATAGAAAAAACTCATCAAGTACGTTTTCTGAACTTTCTTTTTACTAATAAAGAACTGTTTGATGATGTCTATCGGAGTATAGTAGTGTTATTAAAAAGAAAATATCATATTTTGCAGTAGAAGAGCTTCCTTCAAATTACCTTCTCGGCAAATGACTTCCCCTTCTCGTTTGTTGAACCTCGGATGTCTCTTGGCCCTGTCAAAAAAGTAAAACATCAGCACGAAGTGTATCGAAATATATAAACACCCAGAAGAAAAGGGCACGAATACCTTATCAGCGCTATTTTAACATTGTTTTTGAGTCAGTTGCTGGATGGTGAAATTATCTCGAATACCGATTATGCAAACCGTTTTAAAAATTAAGACGATTTATCAATAACGGAACGGTCCAACTTACAAACTGTTCAGATCTTCACAGAGAACATCTAGTGTGGCCCCTGGTTAAGAACTACATGTTATTTTTTGGTTATTTTTTTGGGCTGGGTAATGTTCTTTAACCCTCGAGCAACGAGCACGGATCATGGTGGGCCTCGAACATCCGACCTTTCGAATAAGAGACGGAGAAACAACCCCATCGCCACCGCTCCCCAGTTTGCAAACCTTTCATAGCGAGTTGGTGGAAAATGACGAGAACTTGTTCGTAGAAAAAAAAGATATAAGCAGTAAAAGCTCAGTAAAAAAATCGGATAATTTTGAGCGATCAAATACAAAGCTGTGATTTTATACGGTTAACGTTTGCAGATTTCGCAAACTGACTAAACTTTTGAAGAATTACTCGATTTTCAGGGTGTTGAATTCCTGACCTCGTCCACTAAACCTGCTACTGATTTTTTGACGATTTGCGAGGGAATTATGGAAGACCTAAATGTTAATTAACATTAATAGCACTTACATGCAGGCTTGGACGCAAAAAAGCAACAAAGCCACAGCTGATAGAGTCTTCATCGGTCCAAAACTATTCATAATTTTTGAGTTCTAAACAAATACCGGCTGAAAATGGCGAAGATGTGAAAAAAAATGTGTCTCACTTGTACTGAATTACAAGCATAAAGGTCTACTTAATTAGCTGGTAAATTTTTTTGACTGTTTTTAAATAGCCGGTAAACTACGATTGTATATATGATTATGCTTTGTACCAGGTTGAAACTTCACTGGAGCAATTTTTGATTTATTGTGCTTTTGAATGATTATTTTTTCACATCTTCCAATTTTTCCGACGTCTCTTAGTTACAAAATCATCTATAGCTTTTTGTGCACAATGGTCGAACATCTTTTGCATGTACTTGATACTGTCATACAACTTTCTTCGAGAGCTTGTCGTTAAAGTACACTGGTCTTTTAAGTCATCGTTTAAGTACATTAATGTACATAAGACATGTACTAGCTCACCACGATTCATAGTACCAAGCAAGCAAACAAATATTCAAAATGTTCAAAAATCGTTCAAAAACTGTGCCATTCAATTAGTTCATAATTTTTACTAGGTCAGGCAGTCTTCATAAGTTTTTATTTAGTTCAAAAACTCTAAAAGAGAAAGTCTCCGTACCGGATTTAGGAGGGGGGGGGGGGCGTCTCTTACAGATATTTGACGAAATTATCAGAATCAACAAGAATTCCCGTTCGCTCTGCATGAAGTACAGAAAATTTGACCACGCTAAGGTTCCCAAATTAGAGTCGTTTATTTTTGCTCGAGACGGGGCCTAGGAAATTAGACGATAAACAAGTTCGACTGATGCTACAAAAACGAAATTAGACGGAATTCATTTTTTACAGATCTGGCATTTTAGACGAAAAAGCTATGAAAAGGGAAGGGCCAACGAAATTTTTTCTTAAGATACAGGAGGAACTAAAAGTTTCCTAAACAATAATCAGCGGCTTAGTTGACCACCGTTTCTTTGCAAAAATGTAATTTTTTGTTTATCTGGTAACCGATTAAAGATGGGTACCTAGAATACTCGGTACTTTTTTCAGTTTTAAACATAGTCCCAGCCCCGTTCGGTATCAAGACGTGATTGATGCTGATGCTTGTCATCCAATTCCGTGAATTCATGATCTTACAATTCTGATACTAGACAAATTTTTTAGTATCAGACTTTCTTCATATTTCTAGTATGTGACTTTCTTCATATATTTTGTTTTTATTGCTCAAAATTACATTAATTTACTTGAAAAAATAAACAAAAAATTCAAAGTTTTCCAAATTATCGGGAACAGGAGGAAAAAAATGGAAGAGGCTGAAGAAAAATTAATTTAACACCCCTACAGCTGTACACACTTGATAATTTACAATCAGAAATATCAGCAATTTTGAGAAAACAGCTGACGAACCCCTAAAGGATGCTGGGTGCCGCACTTATGATAAAGAGACAAAGAAAAACTTTTTAAACAATAGGAAAAATAACTAATTAAAAAGAGCAAAACAGATTTCAAAAAAAAATTTGTATCTCTAATAAAGAACGGCATTGCAATCCATGTTTATTTTTTTAATCTGAAAATAGTTCTATGTATAGAATGTGTTCCAAATTTTAAAAAAATATATAAAAAAGCAACCAAAAAACCTTAAAAAAACTGTCTTTTAAGGTCTATGGAGCAAAAATAGCACAAAAAATTTAATGTAATAGAATAAAATAAAAACTTTTTCTTTCTAAAATTTGAGATTTTTTTAAATAATCATCCCCCCACACGCCGCATAAAGTACAAAAGGAAAAGTTTTGCTCCTTTTAACAAATCAATTATGGCAATTAAGCTTCTTTCAACCAATTTGGAACAATTTCTAAGACGGATTAAGTATCCGCTTACGCGTTAATAGCGCGAAATATATCGCGCCTTAATTGTCCCAAATTGACCGAAATGGCAATTAGTAAACCCTCATAACTTTACGATAAATGATAACAGATGAAAAATCTTTTCAATTTTTTAATAATAAAAACAAAACTGCTCATATCAGGGCGAAACTCTGAATATTCCGACTGCCTTTTGAAGTCTATGGAGCAGTAATAACAAAAAAAAACTAAAAGTAATTTAAAAAATTAAACTTTTTTTCTAAGCTTGGAGTTTTTTTTTCAAAAATCATCCCTCCCAAACGCCGTATAAAGTATAAGAAAAAAAAATTCGCTCCTTTTAGCAAATCAATTGTGACATTTAAGCTTCGTTCAACCAATTTGGCACAATTTCTAAGACGGATTAAATATCCGCTTACGCGTTAATAGCGCGAAATATATCGCACGTTAATTGTCCCAAATTGATGAAATGGCAAAACTAAATCCTCATAATTTTACAAAAAATGATCAAAATTAAGCTCAGGAGAACAATAATTTTTGAATGATATTTAAAAAATGGCTACTTAAAAAGTCAAAATTTGTGTGAAGAAAAAAACCCACCCGAGCACAAATATTCCGTTACTTTTGTTACGAAACTCGGAACAAAAATCATGATTTCTGCGATTCGCAGAGGATCCAATAATAGCTATCCATCCTGTCCAAGCATAGTTCGTTTCTCTTATTTCACCAAGTTCCAGACTGAGTTTTTTTTGCAGAGCGAAGCTCTTTTTTTCTACTCCATTTTTCATGCGTCTAGAAATTTCAGGTGGTACCACTTTTACAGCCGTAATCGGTCATGCTGTGGTAGACCTGAAGCTAGAGATCAAATGAAAGCTCGTCCTCACACACTATTATTGCCATGGCAGGGGATCGATTATACGATCTGACGATTTCGAAGTGAACGCCTTACCACTATGCTTAGTGCCTCCGGACAGCAATTTAAGCTCAGGACAGCAATACTCTTCGGCTGTTATAAAAAAAACTTCATTACGCGGCCAAAAACTATGCACCGAATAGGCGCACAATTTTGTGTCTGTATCTTCCTTGATTCCAAAAACAAGTCTTTAAACATGTTAAAATTTTGTCGGAACGATCAAAGGATATGAAAGAACAAAAGAAGAACAAAGGGAGCGTCCGTTTTCTGGATTCCGCTGACAAGTCAGAAAATGCACAGTTTGGCCTCGTAATGGTCAAAATTCTTGGTTAAAAAGTCCAAATTTTTCTGAAGAAAAAGTCGGAACAATAATGCATAAAATATGTCTGAAGTTTGATTGTCGAAGCTGTCTTATATCGGTTCATTCGCAAAACTTGAAGTTGTTTATTAAGCGGTTACTGCTTCTAATAATTCTGCCTTGAAATTATAACTTGAGAAACAAAAAAAAATAGTCGAGGCAGTGCAAGAATTCAAGTGCTGCGTTTGAACCGTATGAAGTTTTGAAAAACTTGAAAAAAAAATGATTAAATTGTTGCGAAAATTTAGAATTAAAACGTGTAAAATCCTGGGAAAATATTTTTGGAATTGGAGGTTTATTTAGGAATTAATTGGCATTTTAGCGGACAGATAGTTTTTTCAAACAAGCCACAAATCTGTTATTTGGTAAGGTTTAACATGAATCTTAGAAGATCCGGTAAGAAAACCTATTCAAAAAGTTCAGTTCTGCAAAAGTCTTGTAAAACCTTAAAAAAGTTTATCAAGGTTGAATTTTATGAATGGTAGATCATATAGGACCATGCAAGAACATTGTAATAATTGTGCAAGAACTATTTCAAAAGAATGCAGGCAGCTATCTGGCAGAATCTTGCAAGGTTCCTTAATAAGATAACAAAAGATAAATATATATTTTTCCGAAATTAGTTACAAAAAAAGAAGGTTATGATAGTTTCGAAAGATAAAGAAATGATTTTTATGAGCAACATCTTAACTTTTCAGACTGTCAATTGAACTGAGTGAAAGCGTTCCATAACTTAGCGAGTTGATGATTTAGTGGGTTTTCCGTATCAAACTTTCGTTTTAATTTCATGTTTGAATTTCATGATTTGATTGAATTATTATGCATCGGTAACAGAGTCCAATTATCAACATTTTACATCAAAATATTACTATTGTTTGATGATGGTTTTCATTTTCATGAAAATTCACGAGGGCATGCTCTGTTTAACCAACAAAACAGGAAAGATCAAATTCTGTGAAGTCGGAATGATATCACAGATATCCATGAAAAATTCAAGAATTATCTAAATGTGCAATTTCAGAAGTATTAACATCTTGGTTGTTTTCAACTGAGTCAAACTTCCAGACTTTTTGTAGAAGCAACATTTAATTGACTAAATGAATAAGCTTATGTAAGATTGTTTTTGCTTCTAGAAAAATAGTATGAATACTCAAACTGGCTAAAAAATTGATTTCATAATCTCTTCACTTTTTGGGGTGGGTAGCTCATTTTAAAAAACATACAAAGAATCTGGTAGCAATAGCTTTTAGACTTTTTTCATTGCATTTTGGAAAATTTAGCAATTAACAATAATTGCACCTAAAAAGTTCACATGATTAAATTTCTGTGAAACCAATTTTTTTTACCCGTACCGAAATTTTATTCCCATTGCAGAACTGCTCACTTTAAATACAAGTCTGGTATAAAAACAGTTCTGTTCACTGGAGTGTCATTGCTGCTCAGAGTGGAACAAGTTTTTGCTTGCTGCAGTTTTGAACAGATCTAGCTTCCAAATGACCAGATCTGCATCAGTTGTGACCAGATCTAGCGGGTGCAGGGGCCGATCTGGCGGGGCGTGGCTAGATCTCGGGAGCACATCAGCTGACTCGCGAACAAATCTGACTCGCACATAATCTTTATTTCGCGCAGAGAAAACACGCCAAAAAATTCAACAAAACAAAACCTGTACAGTGGCACGCAAATAGTTTTTTGCAACTAAGCAAGACTGCTCGTATATCAATGCAAAGCCCTGAATGTTCCGACTGTCTCTTATTTCATTTCGAATAGATTTTGGGAAAAGAAAACCCATATTTTTTTGGCAATATCAAAGTGTAAAATTTTGAAACGTACTGGAACCAGATCTAAACTAGTATTTATCATTGGTTATTATTATGATATTTTCTCTCTATAAAATATTAAATACTAAGCAATCATATTCCATCAAACTAACAACCCACTTATTTCTCAAAACATTAACATCATCAAAACTAAACACTTAACCTTTTCTTCATTTAAACCTTTACCTAAAAGTTATCAAGGCTTATCCTTGTTTTCACTTAAATTATTTTCATTTGAAATAACAGTTCATCAAGGCTTCCCTTGGATCTTTAAACTAATTTCACTTAACTTAAACTAATTTAATTTTATCTAAATATTCTGATCATCAAGGTTTCCTTTGGATCTTATAATTAAAT